TGGAACTGAGATCTTCGGTGCCAAGTTTCAAGGACATGGGTGCAAGTGGCCCAGCGGTGGACCAGACCCTTCAAGTTGGTCTTGCTCTTCTTAGAGCCGAGCGGCTTAGCTCCGCCGGCCTCGTTGCCTGGGGCGGGGTTGTACTTGGTGCACGGAGGGAACCCAATGGGTGTCTCTCTGTGTAAACACTTGTCGTCGACGCGTTTCACAAATCGCGGAATCTGACGTGGACGGCTTCAGTCGGAGGCTGTGTTCTCAGCGCTCAGCTTCAGAACAGGTTCGTCTGACAAATCCCGAGGCTCGATAGGTGTAGTACTGCTGGCACTCAGAGCACGGCCTTCGGGGCCAGTAGGGGCTATCGAATCCCAAGGAACTACCGTTAGATTGTGATAAGGGAGAAGGAGATAGTATGGAGAGAAGTTGGTTTCAATTGCGATGAATCCCGGTGCTATGTAGTAGTCTTGGTGATTGCGGGTGTCAGGGTAATCCGGGACTCGGGAATTTTGTCCGATGGTCCTTTGGAAGTCCCAAGCACACAACCGATCGTTTTCATTTTGGCAGGGATAGGTCGGGAACCTTAAGCTCGATCGGCGGAAGAGTTGTTCGTTTTTCCAATATTCCTGGTACTCAGGGTCCCTTAAACAGGCACGGTCCGTGATCGAGAATGGAATGCCGGTGTCCATATTTTGCAAAAAGGACTTAACTCATTCATTCGTGTGTGCAAGGCGCAATTTGGTCTGGGACGGATCATGCAAACATACGCATACATGATGACTCGCGTTCTGATGATCATTCGTATACGTGCGTGCACATGGTCTGTTTCCACTAAACTCAAGCCAATCTATTACGTATACGTCTAATCTACTCTTGGTATTACTACGAGGAGACGATACCCCTATTTTTAGTGCAATAAGACAACAGTTCGACGCAACATACATCAACTTACAGGCAGAAGGAGAAAGAGATGGAATAATATTCCCACACATCAGATGTCAATCGCGTGTGGACCATGCGTGAGGAAGATCCAACCCATACCTAGACGCGCGCACAGAAGCCGTCTCAAATAAACTGTAAACTACCCGCTATGCATGCATCCATCCTGACCTAGGTTTATTCGGGGAGACAACTTTTACAGGCTTAATGCAAAATCAGAGAGTCGGACGATGTTGCATACACAGAAACATAGGCGTACAAAAAGGGGCTGGATTACACACATTTTTCTGTACATCAACAGGGCGCCCATCCCATACTCCCCATAATCCCTTGGCTTCGCGATCGACAACCCGTCATGCAAGTCATTCGAGGAAGCAACCAAGTTTGGGAATTGTCATACATTATGTACCGAAAAGGAAGGAATGGGGGAGAGAAAAATAATCCATACATCAGCTACATAAAAGAAAATTCGAGTGTGCCGCAAACGAAGATGGTCAAAAACCGAAAATCAAAATTATACAGAAGATGCAAGGAGATGACACCACTTCAACACACCGCTCTCTCTCTCTCCCTCTCACCCTCTCTCGAGGTTCCCAGGATGCAGACAGTCGGTCGCCTTGCACCTACCAACAGCCTGAAGTTTTCATCCCGCTTAGTCCAAGTATGCATGCCAATTTCGCCCGTGTGTCACAGTCCTTAGATGCCATACATCAACCCCGCATACCCAGCACCAGCTCGTCGGATCGCCCAACTCCCTATTCACCGTTCAGTCTCTGTTCGTTAGCCGATCCTCTCGACCGCGCTAACTCCCAAGTGTAGATTAGAGAGTCAATTAGTCGCGCTTGCAAAATTTTTAGCACTCGGCATTTTTGTGAGATAATTCCGGATTACGTTGAAGCGGAAGGAAGGGATAAGAAGGAAGTGCCTACAACTGCATGACGGGGCCGCGACGCGGGGGATGTAGCCGCTCTCCACGCATCGATCCAGTCATGCAGCTGCTTGGCCAATGAGATAGACAGGAAAGAGGCGCAGAGTATTGCGCGGAAAAAAAAGATCAAGAAGAGAGAGGATTACAATTACACATGCGCTTACCAAGAAGGAGGAAGAAGGGATTACATTTACGATTAGGATTTAGGCGCGGCGGGAGCATGACGCATAACATGACGCAGCAATGCACGAGCGAGCAAGGAGCATCATGCGGTTGCAGCCAAGAATTATGATGTCCCCAAATCCCTGGCCTAATTAAAATCCTAATTGCAAGAAGAAATTTTGAGAACTTGTGTAGGTTCAAAATTCAAAAAGAAATTAAAAAATGATTCCCCGCGCGGGAGTCGCGCCAAAAATTCCCCCCATAATTCCGTCGTCAACAAAAAGAAAGAAAGAAGTTGTGTTAGCCGTTATTTTCCGTGCTCCCTATGGCGCGTCCTGCCAACCACCATGATCCCAACTTTCCCGAAAGAACGGGGGCATTAGTGCAATTGGGCCCGACCTCTTCTTCCCCACCCTCCCCTCACCTCCAACCCCCTCAGTACCATTGAGCAGAAGATGACGCTCATAGCCTCATACAGAAAAGAGATTGCCACAACGTCATCACCAGCTCGACCTCCTCCATTGCCGAGGAGTCCAGGAGATTGTCGCCGGCGAGGAGGTTGCTGTCGTGCCAGTTCAAGATTCGAAGTTTCGAACTTTGAAGTTCGGAACATCAAAGTTCTTGGGGGCTGGAGCGGGTGTGGAACTGATGCTTGGGGGCTGGAGCAGGTGTGAAACTAATGCTTGGGGGCTGAAGTGGGTGTGGAACTGATGCTTGGGGGCTGGAGCGGTGTGAAACTTTGCTCTATGTGTGTGTGTGTGTTTGTGTCATGTGTGTCGGTTCAAGATTCGAAGTTTCGAACTTTGAAGTTTGTACGTTAAACCACCACTATCTCCGAGCCTGTTTTGCCGACCTTGAATTTCACTGTGCACCGAGTTTTCCCGAGCCTGGGTCCCATTGTATTCTTTTTTTTGGTACCCGTCGGGAGAAAAAAATGAAAAAGAAAAAAAACAAAGAAAAGGAAAAAAACAAAGACGTATACAGAACGTTGGGTACACGTGACAGTCTGCCAAAGGGCGTTACTTCCCTCAACAAAACACGACAATAGGAAAAAAAAAAGAAAAAAAGAAAAAAACAACAACTCTCTGGACGTGAAAGCAGCTGGATACAGGACATTGGGCACATGTCAAGTGATAATATGCCCTCCCAACGGACGTTACAACCCTCAGCACACACGGATGCACGAAAAAAAAAGCAAAAACATCAACAACTCTTAGGACGTAAAAGCAACTAGAGACAAAATATTGAGTACATGTGAGAGTAAGACATTGGTTGCAAGTGTGAGTTGTCCGTGGAAAGCGCCCTGCCTCATCAGCAGAGCACTGAAACTAACTTGAAAGAAAAACTAAAAAACAAAAAAATGAAACTATCTATGATTTTGGGCAGATGCATTCCTTGAGGCACTGCTGTGAGCACACTTCTGTCTTGGATTTCCCCCATGTCCTTCCTTTCAACTCTACAATTTTTTTTATTTTATTTTTTTCTCCTATCAAGTCCACAAGGCCCAAATGTTTTGGTTTTGCCAACCTTCGTCCGGACGTCCGAACTTTGCGGTTGAGATCATTTTCCCAAATGGCACGACAACTTGGAAAGGTAGTGATGGTTTAATATTTCCAATTTTATTAGCATGTTGGACCTGTCCCACAAACCTGTGTGTGTCCGTGTTCATGTCACGTGTGCCCGCTTTCTTGTTTTTTGTTTTGTTTTGTTTTTTAACCGGACAATTGAACACTGATACACCCAACTGGTTGTCAAGATGTCCGAGTCCGGGGCAACCAGTATTAACACAGATTGAGGCAATACCATTACCATCTTTATCCTAATAGAACACCTGGTCATTGGAGCTGTATTTTGTGCAACTTTCAGTCCAGATACCGCGATAATTACTGGGCGTTCTGTTCGGGTGAAGGCGGTAGAAGCTAGCGCTCCCTGAAAACAAACAGACCCTTAAAAAAACAACAATGACTGTCCTCCGGATCGACAGCATGACCGGGACGACAGCCATTTTCTGCTTTGTGTCTGTGCCTTGCTATTTATCGAGTGTCATGTTGTGAGCACCCATATAGCAAGGCACTCAACGAATAGCAAGACCCGCTGTCAGCTGGCCATCTTTGGGGTCAGGTTTTCAATGACCTCCGGTAGGTTCGATCCCCAGCATGCACGTTCACCTTCCTTCTTCTTCATCTTCTTTCTTCTTCTTCTTCTTCTTCTTCTTCTTCTTCTTCGGTATATATAAGTGAACCCGCCACGGCAAAGCCGTGGCCCAGCGCCAGCCCCGCCCCAGGCACGACCATTATCTGGTCTGGGCGACATTCAAGGTGTTTGTTTTAAGACATGAGGGACGTGCAACATTTTGGGGGGCATCAGCCGAAGCATCAGCATTTTATTGTGGTCGCCGCTGGATTCAAACTCATGCCTGCAATTCAATAGTTTCATGTGTGCATCAACTGAGCAACTTGCCAATGTGCAAAATGAGAAGGAATCTTTCGCAAGAACATTGGAAGGTACACCACAACGGACAGATGCATTGAAAAAAAATCCGGTATGAGTTTGGACTATGGAGTTGTTAGATGCAAATGTTGTCCACCGCGGGCGCACGCGCGCGCGCGCAAGAGAGAGAGAGAGAGAGAGAGAGAGAGAGAGAGAGAGAGAGAGAGAGAGAGAGAGAGAGAGAGATCTTTATCTTTAGGATGAGCAAAATGGGAATGAATCTATCGCTAGAACATGAAAATATGCACTGCCACATTTTCAGTCTTCGGCAGTGTAGATTTCCATATAGTGGCAGTGGATACTTCCATGTTCTAGGGGAAGATTCAATCCCATTTCGCTCATTTCCTGAAGCGTGGCAATGTCGGTCTGTGTGTGTTTGTACGATAAGCAAAATCGGAATGAATCTTCAGCCAGAACATGGAAATATACTGGTCTCATGGTACTTTAAGTGATAGGATGAGCAAAATCGAATGAATCTACAACTCGAACATGGTTAATTGATTGATTGATTGAAAAACAAAAACAAAAACAAAAACGGAGAACGGGGCAATTTTTTTTTTTTTTGATCGATCAATCAATCAATCAATCACTCAATCAATCAATTAATCAATCAATCAATGTCCACCCCTCCCCCGCTTTCAACCATTTCCTTCTCTCTCTCCTCCTCAGGGGCCTCCTATGCCCCTTCCCATTTCCCTTCGTGCTCCTCCCGCTCCTAACCCCCTCCCCGTTTCCTTTGCCGCTCCTCCTCCCGCTCCTCCTCCTGTGCCTTCTCCGCCCCTTCCCGTTTCCCTTCCCGCTCCTTTTGCCGCTCCTTCTATTGCTCCTTCTCCCGCTCCTTCTCCCACTCTTTCTCCCGCTCCCCCCACTTCTCCTCCTCCCACTCCTCCGCCAAACAATGTGACAAAGATCCCGCCATAGCCCAGGTCCTGCTCCTTCTCTCTCTTCTCCTCCGTCCTCCCTCTCCTTCTCCTGCTCTCCCTCCTGCTGCTCCTCCCGCTCCTCCTGCTCCTCCTCCTTCTCCCGCTGCTTCTCCTGCTCTTTCCCCCATTCCTCCCCCCACTCCTTCTCCCGCTGCTCCTCCCGCTCCACCCGCTTCTCCTCCTCCACCAATACCTCCTTCCGCTCCTCCACCTCCCGCGCATTCGCTAACCCCCTCCCCGTTTCCCCTCCCGCTCCTCCTCCCGCTTCTTCTACCGCTCCTCCTCCCGCTCATTTTACCGCTCCTCATCCCGCTGTCGGGCGCAATCGGTCCGGCACCGCACGGGGCCAGCGCGGGACCCTCCCGGCCGCGTCACGCAGGAGTTGGTTTTCAATCATTCGTCGCGAAAATACATGGAGCTTCCACAAGCCGCTCCGGCCGGGTGCGCCAGCCATACCTCTCGCGAGCCCCTACGACAGGATAGGGCCTACGCGAGGCACGACTTACCTACACCTTACGGGAGCTGTC